CCAGGGGGGGTGAACCGGGAAACCGGTTTTGAAAAAAAAGTGCCCAAATATCGTTTTTTTTTTTTTTTTTGGGCAGATTCCGACTGCGCTCTTCAAGAGCTGTCCGAATCCGCAATAAAATTTTTAAGGTACAACATTTTTCAGGGGGCTTCCAGAGGGGGGCAAGGGGTTATCATTGACATATTCAGGCAACCACGGCTTCCTCAGGGAGGGGTCAAGTAAGCAAGTTCACTTATCCGACCCCCCCATCGCTGGAGCACTTTGTGGAGTATGTCATTTGATATTGGTACCCCACGAGCTGAACCAGATCTGATGACAGGAGGTCCTTGCCCGAAATTATAGCTCTTCCAGAGTATATTTCGACAGCAGAAAAGTTATGGTTCCAGCTTTCTGCTCGTGGAGGCAGAGCGTTTTCTGTTTGTTGGTTCCTACATAGGGTGAGTTGTCAGTCCGGAAGTATCTTGTCTGGCAGTCTGTCCAGATACATGTAGTGGAGCAAGGTCCATTCGAGATAGATAGAGAGAAGAATATGGGCCTCGCTGCACTACTCTCGAAATGTGCAAAACGAGAGTGAATCTTCTGCTAGAATTCGGAAAGATACACCGCCCTTTTGTGCATCTGGAGAGGAGTGCAGCAACGCCCTATATTTTAGGTCCATTCTTGGGATTGCACCTCGGACGGCTCTGAAATCACAATTCCAAAATCCGAACCCATAACTTTTTCCACAGATGGCAGGGACGTCGCAGAAGGATATAATGTCAGCAGAGTCTCATTAAAAACATAGTGTTCCCCTCGTGGCGGAGGGTGAAAGAGCATCAGATGTTCCCAATGGTAACTGGTCCATTGGACCACAAGATGACAAATTGGATTAGAGCCTACCTGACCCACATCTTAGGAAAAACGCATGGCTGTTCTCCGATGCTGATCTGCATAGATCAGTGGCGGATATCCTCTGCCCGTTTTTCTTATAGAAATGGGGGCCTGGCCGATCTTTGCCGCTGATCTGCGACGATCGGCGGCCAAGATTGGCCACTTTCTGTACTTGAAAAATCCGGGCCTACAGGACCCGGTTTTGAAATTGCGGGGCAGGGTCCGCCCCCACGAGGCCTTGGGAACACATGCGCCGACAAAAAAAAAAAATCAGCCCCCAGCGAAAATGCGCTGGGGGCAACTGGGAGGGAACCGGCCCGGGCCACCGGCCGGTCCAACCGGAAGGACTGCGGATGGGGTAGGGGTCCCCGGTCCATCCGGGGGACCAGCCCTGCTATAAACCGCAAATCTCGAAAAAGCACAAGGCGATTCCCAAAAATTTTACAATTCAACCCTAAAATTATTTCCAAGTGCGTGCTAAATTCTTAGATGCAGAACAAATCCAAAATTCAGTCCAAGTGCATACTAAACTAATCTTAACAGAGAATGAAACTGGACATTCTAATATTATCTACAGAAAGTAGATGATTTAAAACAGCCAAGAGAACGGCCACATATAGAGAATCCAAGGGAATTTCAAAGAGAGGGAGAGATAGATAACCGCGCCCACAGAATATACGAGTGGGGAACAGCCACTCTTAAACGAAGATCGTCACTCCGAGTGCGTACTAACTGATCTTAGCAGAAATTAAAACTAGGCATATTAATATTGTCTGCAGAAATTAGACGATTGAAAACATCCAAGAGAACGGCCGCATATGAAGAATCCAAGGGAATTCAAAGGGAGGAAAAGATGAATAACCGCAGCCACAGACTATACGAATGGGGAAGAAATGAGTCGGAATTTTTTCCAGATGGCACACAGTAGAGCGGAAATCACTCCCCACACCACTCAAGGCATTGGTGACCCTGTGTCACTGGTCCTACTCTTGACAATCCGCGACTCTTAAAAGGTGAACGTCACTGTATCTCTAAATGCGGTTACAGCTGGAAATTGTTAAACCCTTAACGCTCGGGGGACGTTCCCACTACCACTAGTGAGTCTCCCACTCCCGCTGATGGCGCCGCTGCCCATAGGTCTTCAGGGCTTTACATACCCAGCAGGGGTCTCGTCCCCTCATCTCTGTCACTGTTCTTGGCAGCACCGCTACTACCGGTAGTATTGCCTAAGACGTCGAGCGTGCCACACCTGCTAGTAGGGGTTAGGTTTTTGGCTGTGCGTAGCAATTGTTTCTTTAGTTTGATATCTTGTAGGTTCCCGGACAGCTGAGCAGAACATAGCGGACAAACGCAACAACCAAATTAAGTGAAAAACAGGACCCGAAGTATGCGAACGTCAAACTGCCTTGCGACATAGATGGTCAAACGAGACTTGCTGTAGCCCTTGGTCATGCCGGAGCGCTGCCACCGCAGCCGCACGCTCTCCCACTGCGTCCAGATGCGCCGCTCCGCCTTCCATGCTTTTCCTAGTGAACAAGGCAGTCGGGATGGCGTGTCGTGCAGTACAGCGCACGGCCTTTGGATGGTGAAAAAGGAGCCCCACCTTTTCAGCCGAATGCTTGAGGGGAGGGCGGCTCCTCTGGTGTCGAGATCTTGTTAGGTATGTAGATTGGTATGGAGGTCAGGAGGTCAGGTGCGGAACTGCCAGGATGCCATGGCGTAAGAGTGCAAGGCACTCTCTACCCACTCAAGGGCTAGGCTACGCCAGGGCACTGTCGCCATACCTCTCACACAGCTATGGTGCCTGGCAGGGTAGGTGCATCATGAAAGATCAGCGTCCACATGCCCCGACGTTGCATCCTACTCAGCCGCCGTCGACGACCGGGCGCCGCCACCGCCACTATCGCCACTACGTTAACACCTATTTCGTGCGGCCTTCCTGGGCCAAACTGAACAACTTTTGCCTCAGGGTCACATCGAAATTCTTTACCATATTTAAAATAAAAAATAAAGTTAAAAAATGATTTTTATTTTTTATTTTTTTATTTTTTGGCCCGGCCGGACAAGTAGCCCCGGGCCACTCTGGTAGCCTAGGTGGATTCACTATTTTTTCGGTTCACACATCACGGAAATTTCGATTTGCATTCTCTTCAGTATTTCCCGTTGTTCCGAAAATTCCGAAAATTTTTGAATCTTGTTTTTGCGTCGATCTCTTTCTTTTCACTCATTTTAGTGGTGACGGTAAATCCAAAATTCTTTATTTCGTTGTTTTTCCGTTATTTCAAGATTCTGATTTTTTTTTTTTTTTACGGAAAACCTCTTTGGCAGTTCATTTTTTTCTGCACAAACTATCATCTGACAATTCCGATTTTTTTTTAATTTTTTCGGAATTCTCCGAACTTGCGGACAATTTTCGCAGTTCTGTTATTAATTATTCATTACTATCATTATTATTATTATTAATTTGCAGTCTGAAAATTCGAAAAAAAAAATATTACTTATTTTGAATTTCGGGGGATTGGGAGACCTATCGAACTTGCAAAATCGAGTTTTTTATTTCCTTCAATTTTTTTTTGCAAAGTTCAAACTTTTCTCTTTTTGATTAGTGGCTCCTTATCTGGGCGATCAATCCCACCCACCCCCACCTATGTTGTTGCACCCTCCTTTCTTCCCTTCTCATCTGTCTCCATGTACTCCCTACTTCGGCATTGGTGAGTTGCCACGTCAGCAGGAAACATCAGCGGGATATGTCAGCAGTGACACATCAGCAACACGTCAGCCGACAGCCATGCCACGTCAGCAGCCGAACAGCGCCACGTCAACAGCAGAGAGTGCCACGTCAGCAGTTCCCCTGCCTGGTCTATGCTCATGCACTTTCAAGCAGCCGTCATGGACCAAAAGCCAGGGGAAACGGCTGAGGCCTATCAGGCCCGGATGCTGGTTTTGATTACCGAAGCCAAGCAATGGTCTAATGCGGTAGCAGCCGCAGAGAAGACGGAAGCGGAGGATGCAGAGAAAGCACGTCTGCTGGCGGTGGAACAACAGCGCCAGCACGACGAGGCAGCAGCAAAGGCTGCTGATGAAGAACGCAGCATGCGACGTGAAAAGGTATTCGGAGAGGAGAGAGCCTTACTCACTATGGCAGCGGAATGGCGGAGCGAGGCTGAAGGTGGCGCATTCAGCGACAGCGGTCTCAAGATATCGCTGTTGCTCTGCCACGTCACGGACCTCCTGGCGACGTGCGTTGTACAACAGGAGGACATCCATTCCCTCGACAATGACGTCAAGCAAATCGACAGCCGCCTCAAGCAGCTGGAGCATCGACCCGTCGCCGCCCCCGTGGCCAGCTCCTCGAACACTGCTGATCGCCTCAACGCCTTGGAGATCAACGTCGGAACACTCACGGACGGCGCACCGGCACAGCAAGCGGCTACTCAACAACTTGAGCAGCGGATCTGCCCTGCCACCGCTGGCCCGAGCACGTCAACACGCGAGACAACTCCGAAGTTTGATGGACAAGACATTTCCTGCGACTCTCCGAAGACGGACCCAATTCCATGGTTCCGCCAGTTCGAGCTCAAGTTAGAGCTCCACCACACCAGTGAAAACAAGAAACACGCCTATTTGTACCCCTGGTCGGGGGGCGCGTGTCGAGCTTGGTTGGATAATCTCTTGTCCACGCATGAGGTGGTGGCTTCCGAACTGCATACCAAGATCAGCTGGGCTGATCTGAATGTGGCGTGGCATAAGCGGTTCCAAACAGAGCCGTTGGAAATGCAAGCAATGGACAAGTTGATCAAGTTCCACCAGAACACGCTACTGAGCGGGGATTGGATTTCGGAGTTCCTACGCTTGGCATCCACGCCAAGTGTACCGATGGACTTTCAGGCCGTCAAACACTACTTCATCTCGAGGTCGTGTCCGGCATTGTCCAACGTCCTGGCTCAAGTCGCAAACATGCTCACTACAATGGCGGAGCTCTTCGACAAGGCCGCGCAGATCATCTTCACGAACACGGAGGCCAAGAACCTCAATCGTTTGCCTGCGGCAGGCCCAAGCAGAGAACAGCATCGGCCAAAAGTGGCCGTGGTCGCGGCGGCAAGCCGACCAACCCTTCAAGCGAGGCCGCGTTTGCCTATGAGGGGGACAGACTCGCAGCCGCCCGGGATGGTGGCCGCCCCGACGAAGGCCGAGGAGGCGGCAGATCGAAGACCGACACCTTGTCAAACCCCGGGCTCGGTGCAAGAGCTCAAGATCCATGGACACACTAAGGTCTCTCGGAGAGCGTATACAAGATACGCACGAGACTTCGGTACTGTTTGTGGTGCAATAGTGACCTGTGTGCGGTATCTTCTTTGTTCGGAAGCGAAGACTTATCGTCTTCAAGTGGTTCTTCACGGGATTCGGCGCGCGAGTTCAACATAGAGGTATTGGACCCGCTCACGTCCGAGGATTTCACATGGCTTCCTCTCCCGACCACGGGCTGCTTGCCAGGACGGCAATGCGCAACGCTATGCGTGCATCTTCACACATACTCATCCTTCTATGCACCACCAACTTCGTCGACGGATGACGAAGCTGCGGTGGGGGACATCCTTGCGTATGTTACCAAGGTGGGCCGCGAGTTTCACAGGCAGCGGTACGATGACAACAACGCACCGCTCCTCTATGTCCGCACCCAAGTTGGGCAAGCATCCTGCAACGCTTTGCTGGATAGCGGCGCGACTCGCAATTTCATGAGCCAAGCGTTTATGCAAAGGGCTGTCATTGGCGCACAAGTTCGGAGGGAGCCAAACCCGACAGCGATCAAGTTAGCAGACGGAAAGGCGCAACAACTTGTCGACCTCTACATCGAGGACGTCCCAGTATATTTTGCACCTCATGCATGCGAACCGGTGACGTTCGACATTTTGGATACGGACTTCGATATCATTTTGGGAATGCCTTGGCTTGCAAGTGCCGATCACACAGTCAACTTCCATCGGCGGACTCTTACCATCCGCAACGCCTTTGGCGACGAAGTGTCGTGTACCATTCCTCTTCCGCACCCTTCGATCCGGTTCCAAGGTGTGACGACCAAGTCGCTCAGGCTATTTTTGCTTACGAGCAACCCGATGAGATAGACCTATGTTTCCTATAAACCGTCGTGGTAGCCGACTCTTCACCTATGGACTTGTCTTCAGTCCCCCGTGTGGTGCGGTTGCTTGACGAGTTCGCCGACATCTTCCAGTCACCTACCGTTGTCGTGTCGGACCGGTCAATCTCTCACGAGATCATTCTTGAGGTCGGTGTCGTGCCGCCGAAAGGTTGCATCTATCGCATGAGCAAGGAGGCGCTCACGGTCCTCCGCGCACAGCTCGACGACTTGTTGGACAAGGGCTGGATCCGCCCTAGTAGCTCCCTATATGGAGCACCAGTTCTCTCCGTACGAAAGAAGAACAAGGATCTACGATTGTGCATCGATTACCTCAAGCTCAACGTGCAAACCGTCAAGAATGTGGGGCCTCTTCCTCGCATCGACGATCTTCTTGAGCGATTGGGCGGCGCAAAGTACTTTTCCAAGTTGGATTTGAAGTCGGGGTATCATCCGATTTCGATATGCCTGAACGATCGCTATAAATCCGCGTTCAAGACGCGGTACGTGCAGTTTGAGTGGGTGGTCATGCCTTTTGGCCTCACCAATGCCCCGACGACCTTTCAAGCGGTGATGACCAACGAGTTCCGTGCGATGTTGGACCGGTTCGTGCTGGTGTACTTGGATGACATTCTCGTCTACAGTCGGACGTTGGAGGATCATCTTGCACACCTTCGACGAGTGTTGGAGACGCTCCACCGCCCCAAGTACAAAGCCAACCGCGACGAGTGCGAATTTGTTCGGCAAGAGATGGAATACTTGGGCCATTTTGTCACACCGGAGGGCATCAGTCCGTTGTCGGACAAGATTCAAGCCATCCAAGAGTGGTCAAAGCCACAGAACGTCATAGATGTCCGTTCGTTTCTTGGCCTTGTCGGCCACTACCAACGTTTTATAAAGGGATACTCAAAAATCGTGGCCCACTTGACCAAGCTTCAATGTGAGGATCGGTCGTTCGACTTCGGTGAGGATGCGCGGGTTTCATTTTTGGCCCTCAAAGTCGCGTTACTATCCGCAGAGGTCTTGCGAATCTACAACCTGCTATTGTCGACACGCGTCACTACCGATGCGCTCGGCTATGGCATTGGTGCTGTCCTCGAGCAACACGATGGCGTCGACTGGCACCCGACCGAGTATTTCAGCAAGAAGGTGCATGCCGTGCACTTAATCGATGATGCATGGAAGAAGGAACTACTAGCCTTCGTCCACACGCTCAAGTGGTGGCGATACTTTCTCCTTGGTCGAAGTCAATTTCGATGAGTAACGACCAACAGTCCGTTAGTCTCTTACAAGACCCAAGACGCGGTCAACAACACCATCGCCCATTGGATGGCTTTCATTGACCAGTTTGACTTCTTTCCCGATCACATTCCGGCGAAGTCTAACAGTTTTGTGGATGCTCTTTCACGGCGTCCGGATCATTGCACCGCAGTCTATTCGACCTTCAAGATCGATGACGACCTGCGGGACAGCTTCATCCGCGGATACCAAGCCGACCCCGAGTTTCATGACAAGTACGCGAATTGCTCCTCTCCTAATCCGGCGCCATCGCACTACCGGATCCAAGAGGGATACTTGCTTGTCCACACACGGGGGAAGGACCTTCTTTGCGTACCAAGTGATCCACACTTGCGTACGAGGCTTCTTGGCAAGTTCCACGATGCTCCCGCCACCGAGCACTTTGGAGTCAATCGAACGATTGGCTGACTTTGTGTACCAAGTGATCCACGCTTGTGTACGCGACTTCTTGGCGAGTTCCACGATGCTCCCGCCACCGGACACTTTGGAGTCAATTGAACGATTGGCCGACTTCGCGGGCGCTTTTGGTGGCCCGGCCTTCTCGGCGACGTCACACGCTATTGCAAGTTATGCGAGGTTTGCTGACGCTGCAAATCCCGCAATCATCGTTTGTATGGCGAGTTGCGACCATTACCGGTCCCCTTGTGCCGAAGGGAAGCGATTGCCATGGACATCACTGGGTCGTTCCCCAAGCACAAGACCGGTGTGGATGGGATTCTCACGGTGGTCAACTGACTCACCAAGTTCGCCATGTTTTTGCCTTGCCGCTATCATGCCAAGGCACCAGAGTTGGTCGAGGTTCTTTACGCCGGTTGGATTCGAACCAAGGGTTACCCCAAGGAAATCGTCTGTAACCGCGACGCTCGGTTCATCTTCGATTTTTGGTTGGCGCTCATCAAACGATGGGGCTCATCTCTCAAGCCGAGTCCAGCTCGCCACCCCCAAACCAATGGCCAAACGGAGAGGGCGCATCAGACCGCACAGGTTCTCCTTCGCATTCTCATCTGCCCCGACCAAAAGGATTGGGTTGAGCATCTGCTGGATGTCGACTTGGCATACAACTCGTCCATTCATCCGGCTATCGGGATGTCGCCCTTTGAGTTCGAGCACGGCTCACCGGTCACCTCTCCATTGGACACAATCATCCCATGGGCGGCCGAGAGTGACCACCATCTTCTTTTCTTGTGTCGGCTGGAAGAGCTACTTGTCAAGGCACGCGACCAGATGGCAAAGATGCAGCAACACAGGGTCTCCGCCGCCGAATTCAGCTTCGAACAAGATATCGCTTGCAAGCTCCTCCCGAAATGGATGGGGCCTTGGCCGATCGTGGCACCGACTGGGGATGCACCCGAAGGACCTTCATTTGTCATTCAGGTGCCTGCCCACTTGCTCGTCCACCCGGTCTTTCATTGCTCCAAGCTGGCTCTTTTCACGCCTACGGAACATGATGATTTCCTCGGGCGAGGATCGCAACACCCACCTTCTATGGACGGTTTTCAAGAGGTTGGCAACATCATCTCCGAGCGACACTACGGTAACAGGCCGACCGAGTACTTAGTACATTTTGCGTACTGCACCCATAAAGTTGACCGTTGGTTGACCCTCACGGAACTTAAAGCAACAGCTCCGGATGTTCTCGCACGCTACTAACACAAGTTGCAAGGCAAGCTGGCATCTTCGGCTCCACGTCACGTTCACGTCCAGGTTCCACATTCAGATCGTCAGCTTCGCCCTCGACCCGGCTTGACTTCATAAGGAGGGGGGCGCGTTACATGCTGCGCCTGCCCACGGGCCCTGTTAGAGGGGCCCGACGGTTGCTAAGGGGCCCCAGGCCGCGCGCCATCCAGCATGCACCCTGGAGGCCCATGGCGGCCTTTTTGGCCGCAGGTATTGACAGTTGCCCGTTCAGACGTCTTTTCGAACTACAGGTCCAGACGTCGTTTCGGACTGCAGGTCCCAAGGCGACGCCTTGGGCCAGGTACACAGGGACAAGGCCACTTTCAGGCCAGGTGCAGTTTGGCGCCTCACTGCATCAGCAGCGCGGTCTGGATACCCAGTAGGGGCCCAGACCAAGTAGGCCGTTTGAGGCCAGTACCTGGGAAGCGCCCAGCAGGCTCAGCGCTACTTATAGCTGGGCTGAGGCTGGGCAGGAGGACAGTTGGAGTAGCTCACTTCTCGAGCGACACGCTGCTGGAGTCAGGCTGTGCTGTTTAGCGCTGCGCTACTGGGTTGGAGGCTGAACACCGGAAGGCAGAGGGGCGGAGGCCATACCTGCAACGAAGGGGACTTACCTGGCGCCATAGCTGGGACTCCCCGCGCACGCGCGACCTGCACACGATGACACAGAACAGTGGTCAGTTCGGCGTTGTCACCTGCAGGTGAGGCAGCAAGGGAGGCGACATCTTCTTCTTTGTCAGTCTCCCTCTCTCTCCCCTCCTTCCTCCTTCTTCCTCCTTCTTCTTCTTCTTCTTCTTCTTTTTCTTCTTCATCAGAGAGAGAGAGAGAGAGAGAGAGAGAGAGAGAGAGAGAGAGAGAGAGAGAGAGAGAGAGAGAGAGAGAGAGAGAGAGAGAGAGGTTACAGGCAGAGGATACAAGCAGAGGTTACTGTGGGCATGGCGCCCAGGATCTGATCCGACATTTTTGAGGCAGACATTGATTGGACCTTCGGCAAGGGATTATTCTTGGACTGTGCTATCGCGATCTTGGTCTACTCCCTCGCCTCCACCTTCATCTCGCCTCTCCCCTCCATCTCCTCCGTGGTATCTCCCCCATGTGTGCATACAAGGAGGGACATTTCTTCTATGCCTGTGGTCCCTCCTCTTCTTCTCACATGTGTGGTGTATGATGGGATGTCGCGTCAATCCCGGTCAGGTCAGGACTTATCTTCAAGTCTTCCACTGCGCTACTTTGTGCCATTTTGTATGTATCAGGATGTACATTGCCTGTTGATGTTCCACTGACATTGCATTGTCCGTTCAGTCCTTTTCATCACATTGCGGATCGTTGGCTCCATATACATTGCCCAACTGGGCATGTATCACCAAGCCAGCCCCTTTGCTCTCAATTTGTTTGATTTGGGGAGAAACTGCAGTGCCTTGGGCCCTCTGACACCGACGCTGAACTCTACAAATGGATGGCGTCTGGTTGGATGGGCAATAAATGACGGACATTATCAAACAACACATACAAACGGAACTGCAAGCCCAATGGGAAACTGCACAAAAACAAATGGCTGTTGTACTTTCGAAAGCTGGCGTCAGAACACAAATCGCACAATTCTGCAATAACTGGCTTTGGGGGACCCAGGGAGGCTGGATGGGAGAGGTAGAGTGGAATAGCAAGCAAGGGGCGGCCAAGACCAGCTGGTCAGGGATTATAAGATCATAGTCCACGAATGGACCTGGGTGGATGCTTCGGTCCCAAGGCGGCCTCTGAGTGACTTCGATGACCGGTTTGCCCCCCCTCCCCTGTCAATAGTTGGCTTGCAATGGTATGGGGGATAAAGAGGCAGTCTTCCCTTCCCCCCCCCCCGCCCTCTCTCGCTCTCTCTATAGGCTTTCCATTTTCAGACTCAGTTCACAGAGCTCAGTGATGTGTATGGGGATGCTGGACCCGGTTTCCAGCAGGTGCAGCTCACCAGCAACAGAAGGGAGCAACCAGAGTCATATCACCTCCCCTAGCAGGGCCAGCTGGGTTTCTCCTCAAAGAAAGAGGAAAAAAAAAAAAGGGGTTGAACTTTGAAGTCACGATCTCCGTACTGATGGTAACTTGTGCTTATCATTCCAATACCTTTTTTTCTTTTTTTCTTTTTTTCCAAAGCCTCAGTAACTTGTGCTTACCATTCCAATGCCTTGTTTTCTTTTTCTTTTTTTCCAAAGCCTCAGTCCACTAGAGGAGGTGATGAGAGCATCCTCCTCTAGTGGTGGGACCTTCCCTGGCTGCTTGACTGAGTCCAATAATGAACCTCCTGGTTTTATGATTGTGATCTTTCTGAATGTTACTGCAGGCTGAGCGACGTCATCCAAGCCTTGGCCTGAATGAAGACCACCACCCACCTTTAGGGCCATATACCTTCTTCGTCAGTTTCACCATCTTCTCATGCAATCTTGGGGTTGTTGCTGAACTCAGCCCACAGATCTCAGGAAGATCGCTGTCGAAAAGATGGCTGTCTATGGCTTCACTGATGACAGTGGCGATGAGTCTGTCCTCAGTTCTTCTATCGGACAGAAGAAGGAAGTGCAGGAGGCCTGGCTGGCTCGATGTTTGCCCATATTTATGCAGCCGGAAGTAGACGTCAGGAATAGGCATCCTCTGTTGAGGGTTTTTTATAAGTTTGGGGAAGATGCCGAGAAAGGAGAGATATTCTGTGACTTGATTGTGGTTTATGAGGTATGTCTGCACTTCGAAGCTATTGTCTCTCTTTCCCCTATCATCTTCAGAATGCCTGGTCATTATCATTGCATCTGGGCTGAAAATCGCCCCAAATACAGCTATAATGACAGGTTTGTCTATGCGGGTGAAGGGTTGATAACTTGATTTGTATGCAATTTGTTGTGTTGGATGTGCCCCAATGGTTATGCGATAAGATGCTGCCACATCCTCTTTTTTTTGCCTTTTTTCTTTTTTTGGGCTGCACGGCTAGGCTACCTATTAGCAGCGGCCTACCTATAGAAGAACAGCCATGAAAAGGCCTCCTGCATTAAGAGGCTAGCCTGGGATATCTTAATTCAACCCAGGTCCAAGGGAGGGTTAGGCATCATAGACCTGGGTCTGCAAATCAAAGCTCTTACCTTCAAAATTCTGATTCGGCTGCTATCGAGGAATGATATCCCATGGGTTCGCTATGAACACATACAAATATCATGCCTGACCCCCCTCATGCCCGCAACGTCCGGTGCATCCTCTCAGGTGGGTGACAAACCAGGCATGGACCATTCCAGCTTGCCCCACGAGAAACACAAACGATACCTCGGCTGGTAGGGGAAAATGGGATA